CACTGTACAGACCCCAATCTCTTATCAACTGCCCCACTCTCTTTCCATCCCCTTTACCACCAAGGTAACCACTCCAGGTCTATCCAACCCTTTTGAACTGTGTTCTCTGGAATGCCTGTTAAATGAGTAACAAAGTTGCTTTTAACTTAAACCTTTCCCTTTCTCACTCCTTCCATCTTCTTGCACTCACTGAGACCTGGCCCCATTCTGATGACACAATGTACCTAGCCACCCTTTCCAGAACTGGAAGCATTTCACTTATGACCCAACCCTGCTTGGGGATGAGGTCAGGGAGTCTGAATACTTTCTACTCACCACTGGCACTTCCAAGTTCTCTCTGCCTCCATCAGTAAGTAATCTCTCTTCCTTTCACCTCTCTTTAATTCCAGTCCTTCCCTCTATTATTTTCAATTTATCTTGCATGTAGCATATATATATGTATATATACACACACACAAATATATGTTTACATGTTATCTCTCCCAACAGAATGTAAGCTCCTTAAGAGCAAGAACTTTTTTTTGTCTTTCTTTGTATCCCTAGCACTTAGTATGGGGCCTGGTATATAGTAGGTACCTGATAAATGTTTATTGACTGAGGTTCATTTAATCCATACTAATTACACAATCAAGATGCTGGTAATGGCTTCTACACACCTCTAGGACATAAGTTCAGTGCTTATCTCACAGTCATTCTCTCCTTTCCAGCTCTTGGCCTCATTCTAGGGGACTTCAACACACATATTGATAACTCCCTAAAACATCCTAACTTCCTAGTTCCTAAACCCTATTCTTTGCCTGTGACTTGCCTATTCCTCCACCCTACCTCAGCTATACACAGAGATGGCCATACCCTTGATCTTGCCATCACTCACTAGGGTTCCACTTCCATGTTTGTGAACTTGGAAATCCCTTTATCTGATCATAGTCTGTGGTTATTTTGCCTCTCCCTCTGCCTTGCAACCCTAATCCTGTTCTTATACTCACCGTGACAACCAATCCTTTCCCCCTCAGTTCTTTCTCAGGCCATCATTCCTGCACTGACTATACTCTCCTACCTTCTTCACCTTGATCCCATGATGAAACAGTTCAATTCTACTCTACTACATTGAAGTCCCTTGTCCTATCACAGATCTTTCCCCAGCCTTGGATTACTCCACCATCTATTATCTTTGCTCCTATTCATGTATTGCTGAAAGAGGCTGGAGGAATCACAAAATCATGTTGACTGGATCCACTACACACTTATGTTGCATAACCTCAACTGGGCCCCTCACTGAGGCAAGGTAATCTTACATCTCTCTAATTGATTCACTGTTGTTGTCTTTCATTCTCAAAGAGGACCATGACATCAGGAAGATGATGCCGTAACTTGCAAGTGAATTGTATTTAAGTAAGGAATGACTGTGCAAGATCACCAGCCTCACTTTCTCCTTGGAGCCCTCTGGGTCCAGTGGCAAGATATAGAGCAGAATGTGACTGGAGATGGTCTCCAATTGATTCACTGAGCTAGCTAGAAGGCTCAATGGATAGAACACTGGGCCTGGAGTCAAGAAGACCCAAGTTCAAATATGGCCTCAGACACTCACTAGCTGTGTTATTCTGGGCAAGTCACTTAACCTCTGTTTGCCTTAATCAACCAGAGAAGGAAATGACAAATCACTATCTTCATCAAGAAACTCCCATATGGGGTGCATGAAGAACTGGACATAAATGAATAACTGAACAATAATCAATTCACTATCCCACATACTAAAATGGCTTTTCCAATCCTTTTCATCCCTCCTCAAACTTTCCACTGCTCCCACCCCGCCCCCCCAAAAACCTGAAGCCTTTTGCTGAGAACTTCCTTTCATCCCTTCCTTCTCATTTCACCTCACTCAGATTCCTTCCCCACAACCTCCTCTTTCATCTGTCTCACATGAAGGTGGCCCTTCTCCTTGCCAAGGCTAACCCCCTCCACATAAGTAATTACATTCCATCCCATCTTTTTCAGTCCACTGGCCCCTTTTTCATCTCCACTTTCTCAGTAATCTTCAATTTCTCCCTAGTGGCTTCCTTGCTCCTACACACTTATGTCTCTCCCCCCCAATTCTCAAAAAACTTTCACTTGATCAGTCTAACCCTGATAGCTATCTTACTATATCTCTCTTTCCTTTCATAGTTAAACTCTTTAAGAAAGTCATCTACAATCAATGCCTCCACTTCCTTTCCTCTCACTCTCTTAACTTTGCTGTCTGGCTTCAGATTCCATCCTTCAACTCAAACAGCAATCGCCAAAATTACCAATGATCTTTTGATGGCCAAATCTAATAGCTTTTTCTCAGACTTCATCCTTTTTGTCCTCTCTGAAGCATTTAACACTGCTGATCACTCTCTCTTCTTTATACTCTCTTCTATCTTCATCCAGGTTGCCCCAATAACTCTGAATGTTCCACATAACCTATGGTATCCCCTGAGGCTTTATCCTGGACCCTCTTTTCTTTGCCCTCTATACCATTTTGTTTGATCTAATCAGCTCTCATGGACTATGGGAGATATGTAGGTGAGTCTGAGATCTATTTATCTAGTTCTAACCTCTTCTCTCCAGACCCTCAGTCTCCCAACTCCACCTATTAGAGATCTCAAATTGGCTGGCACTCAGACACAATAAAACATGAGCTGAACTCTGATCTCACCTTTCTCCTAAAACCCTTTCTTCTTCCTAACTTTGTTATTACTATTAAGGGTATCCCCAGTCCCCTAGTCACTTAGGTGTCATCTTCCATTTCTCATCTCTCTTACCTACCGTATCTAATGTGTTACCAAGTCCTATGGATTCTACTTTCCCAACATCTCCCATATATATACATATATATATATTTTTAACACTGCCAATGCTCTGGTGCAGGCTCTGATCACTTCACATCTGGGATTCCTGATATGACATTTTGGTTGGTGTCCCTGCTTCCAGTCTCTCTCCACTCAACTGTCAAAGTCATCTTCCTGGCAGAAGTTGAGTTCCTGACCATAAGCAGTCTGCTCCCTGCCGGGTATGCCCACCATTGAGGCCAGGAAACTTTTACACACACACACACACACACACACACACACACACACACACACACACACACACACACACACACACACGTTCTCGCCTCCCAAATAATGTAAGTTCCTTGAAAGTGAGGATTGTTTTAATTTCTGTTTTTGTATCTCCAGTGCCTGGCACATGGTAGGCATATGGTAAGGCTTGCTAACTACACTAACCATAAGTCCATTTATGACTATGAAGAAGCATGGGAAACCTTATATGTTTCTTTTTACCACAGTGCCTGGCACATAGTAGACATTAGATAAATGCTTGTAGACTGATATGAACTAAATGAAATAAAAAAATCAGGGAAACAACATACATTAATATGTAAAGTGAAAGAATAGTAACAAATCAGAATCAAATGCCGAGATATTATAATTAACTGTTAGATCCTAAAGGAGATACATGAGAATTCATCTCCCTTTTTTGCAGATGTGGGGGACTCACTGGTTGTTGTCTTTCATTCTCAAACAGCACCCAAAAAAAGACATTAAATGTCTCCACACCTTCCTGGTATCAGAAACCCAAGTAAACTTCTCCCAGGCCCTGCTCTCTATCAGCACTGTCTCTCAGCCCCCAACCTAAGAAATACTCTATAATGTTCCCAATTTTTTCAGTATGAGGTGGTATGGTCTTCTAGGCTTTCTTCCAGAGTACACCATTGTAGAATCCTAGGATCTCACCTCTTGTTCAATTTGTCTAATCCTGTATTATCTCTGTCCCCCCCCAAAAAAAATTAGGGAACCACTTCCACATTTGCTACGAAGTAGCTTTACTTAAGGATCACTGATTTAAAGTTGTATGGGACCTTAGAGTTCATCTAACTTAGCTCCTTTATTTATACACATAAGGGACCAAGGCCCAGAGATGGCGACATGTCCAAGGTCACACCAATACAGCAAAATTCAAACACAATTCCTCTAACTTCTAGTCTAGTAAGCTTTTTACTGCACAATAGGGTCTTTCAAGCTGAATGTCTAACTAAAAAGGGCCTTAAGGTACATAAAATGATAGAATTAGGAGCTCAAAACCACCCCAAGTTTGATCTAATTCAGTCTCATTTTAAGATAACTGAGGGCCAGATGATCAAGCTACTTGCCAAAGGTCACAGTTAGTGGAGAGGGTTGGATGGGAAGAGAAGCCAACTCTCCATATTTCTAATTGGGTCCTCTTCCCCTCCCCCTCCATGCACACATTACTTACCTGAACACTTTTTGACTTTCTGTACGAAGCATATCATTTACAAAGAGACCCCCCTTCCCCTTCCCCCATCAAAATATTACGGGGATGTCAACGATCCTGATATTTTAGGTAAAAAGCCAAAAATGTGAACTAGAAGTTTCTTTAGAAGATAAACTTTTAACTATGCATGGCAAATAATAGCCTTTACAACAAAAGTAAATTCCAGGCCTGCTCTGGTGTGCCTCCTCCTGTAGATACCCCAGACGGAACCGCCTCCACCCTAAGCAAATTATATACATAGTGGTGCTAGTGTACATTGAGGGCCGTCTAACGTGAGTACTGAATTGCTGAGCACTGAGTTTTGTGGCTTATTTAATTTTGTTCAAATTGAATAAACGTGTCGTTTCCCTTTACAGAATGACTAGCGGGTGGGGGAAGGGAGCAAACGCGAAAGTAACAGAGGTCCAAGTCCCCCTTTCTCCACGCTGAGCCTACCTGGTTGCCAAGGGAGCCCACCCCAAACCATTGTCTACAGGTGGTATCAAGGCCTCCTCTACAAGTTTCCCATTTCCTTCCCCAGCCCCTCCCACCTTGGCCTCTGGGGCTGGCCTGTCACCCAGCTTTCAGGTCCCCCCTCCCCCCAATGGAGCCAGGCCGGCTTCCCCGCTTATGCCCTTGGGCTCGACTTTCTCCTCCCCTGGCCGGCCCCACACCTCTCGGCCTTCCTCAACAGCTTCCCTTACCTGGACACGTGTTTAAGAAGCAGGTCACAGAGCCCTGCTGGCGTCCTGGTCCCCCAACTACTCCTCTCTAAGCCCTGAGAGGGCTTCAAACGGATACGAATCACCACCACTACACAATAGGCCACCCTCCAACCCCCTATAGACTGGACGCGCCTGCGCAGCCCTGGGTGGGGGAGGGCACGTGAGGGCAGGGATGTTAGGGGGCAGCACGTGCACACTTGGATGTTAGGCAGCTGTAGCACGTGCCAAGTCCACCAGGAGCTGCTGCGCATGTGCTCCAGAGTCGCTTTTAAAGCGAGGAAAGTCTTGATGATTATTATCTTAGTAAGCATTGGGCCTTTGGAGTGCTTGTAAGGAGAGTTCTTTTGAGTTGAAAACATATTCACGAAAAGATAAATCACTTTTAGCTTTTTATGTATTAAATGTATACTAAAAAATGTTATGTTTTCCAGCTAGTCATTTTTTTAAAAAATTAGCTTTTCATAAACTATTAGATATTTCTTTTGAACTGCTCAGCAACTCCTTACCCATGGTAACAAAGGTAGTAAGTAACAGTGCAGAATTCAAGCAACTACTTTGTCTTCCAAAAACAGCACACTTTTTGTTATACCTCATTTGTTTGTCAAGATGACTATCTGGCTAAAGTGCTTCAGGTATAATTTTACAGATGAGGAAACCAACGCTAGGGGAGTTGGATTGATTCTACCAGTCACAGCTGAGAACTATCTTTGGTGGGATTCCAACAGACTGCATTCCAAACAATGCTTTCCCGTATTTCCCAAAGTATTCATCTACTTGATTTCTGAAACTAAGCGCATCCCTTTGTTCTATTCCAGTGCACCTGATCGTTGCTTTTACATTTTCTTTTACAAAGAACCTTAAAAAAAATGAGTTTTTATTACCTTTAGATATACGGAGTAAATAAAGCATGTTGCTTAGTTTTGATAAACTCTTGGATTGATACTCTTCTAAATTAAGCCTTCACATATATCCTGATGCAATTAATGAGTCATACACTACTACCCCCACCCCCACCACCTCCCAACCAAAAGGTCATCTTGAATTGCCATAACACCTTTGGCCCAGTTGTTCACAAAGCTTGTTCACAAGCTTTAGTGTTCACATTCAAGAGCGTCGAATTTGGCCACTCTACTTCAAGCCTTAGTGAAGAGGCTTAGCAAAGATGAATAGACTCCACCCCTTTAGGTACAGAGAAGGAGGGCCTTTGATTTGCTATTCTTTTTTATTTCTTTATGCCCCAAGATTAAGATAAGGAGTATATATCTGGGAGGGACGGGGATAAAATCCAAAGGTGATTTGCCTGAGTTTCTCTAGAGGCTGGGGGAGAGGACAAGGTAGGTATAAGTTGCCGCCGGTAACCCAAACTCCCCGATAAACACATAGCAAAAACTAGGCTGAACTCGTAGTCCCTTAAACAAGGTGACTGGAGAGGAGAGAGGAGGGGCCTCGCCTAAGCCCGGCCCACTGCAGACAGGTTGCTCCGTGGCTCAAGGTGCGCCCTTTCGTCACGTCCCAGCGCCACGCTGATTGGCTGCTCCAGCAGCTCCCGCCCCTCCCTCCCAGCTGGAGCTAGTGGCCGGTTCCGCGGCGGCGTCCGGCGTCGCCGCCATCTTTGTTGATGTGTCAGCTCCTCTGGGGTTTGGGCAAACCTGCGGCTGGTGACCAGTAACGCTCCTGGCCTTCCTCAACGCACCCCCTCCCCCGGCTTTGGCTGCCCCCCGCCCTCGCCCGCTCCCTTGGCTTCCCAGACCTCGCTATGGAGAGGCTGACAACTTAGTCGATTGCCTCACTGCCGGGTAAGAGTCTCTTTCAGAGGCTTGGGGAAAGTAGGAGGGGAGTTCCCTGAGGGGAGTCGAGCTCGAGTCCTCGGTCTGAGGAGGCTCCCTCCGAGGGTGGGGGGCCGGGGCCCCGCTGCCCCCTCCTCACGCCCGGGGCCCAGTTCGGAGCGGGGACGACGGGGACGTTCTGAGGCCCTGAAGGCGGAGCGAGCGCTTGCTCTTGTTTCTCGGGTGGAAAGAAGGTGGGGGGGGCGGCGGGAAGGAAGGGGGTGTCGGTAAAGTTGTGAGCCCCGTACCCCGCTCTCCTCGCCCCTTCTCTTCCCTCTCATCGATTCCCATAGGGGAGGGCGGGGAGGAGTAGGGAAGACCGAGTGGGAAACAAACTCTGAGGTTCCACGCTGGCGAGGCGAAGCCAGGAGATGTGCCGGAGGGCTTGGGTCCTGATGTCTGAATGCACCGAGGCAGTTTGCAGAGAGTAAAAAACGTTTGCCTTGTAAACTGTATTTTTGCGTGTTGTGTTGTCGTTTTGACTCTGGTCGCGCCTTTTTGTTGTGGTGGCGCCGGGTTGTTAAGGAACCACTTTTCTTCAAATAAGGGACAAGGAGGGTACCTATAGCCTTCCTGTCTCCAGTGCTTTTCAGAATCCGAGGGCGGCCAAGAGATTTAATGAGCTCGTGACTATTCGCTGAGTAAGACAATGATAAACTGAGGTAGGACAGGAAAGGAAAAGGGACACCTTAAATACTTCAGTAAATGGTAGAAAGAAAGCTTGTAGTCGTATTCCCGGCCTGTTCCTCAGCATCAATTTGATTTAGTAAAGATAGAATAGTGTTTGGCATTATTGGTTTGCGTCCAGTTTATTGATTGGCATGATAGTTTTGTGTTAGTGAGTTCAGCCCAAATTTTTTCCCCCCAAATTCAGATTGGGTGGATTTCTCACCAAAAGCATACAGGAAGCAAGTGAGCCTGTTTTCTGTAAGTGGTGTTTTAGTAGCCATTCAGGTAATTGTTAATTCATTATTATTAGGAGAGCATTTAGTTTTATGAGATTCTGCTGTCTAGTAGTAAGCGCTCAGGTATGTCATGTGTGGCGCAGAGTACCTGGATATGTCTTGCTTAATATCTTCAGTCTGTTTTTCTTTGGAGGACAATTAAAGTTCAGAAAACGTTGAGATTGAATGGTGCAGCAGTCTGCCTGTAGTGTGTAATGTGTATAGTCTCCTTTTTTGAGCTGCTTTTGGTGACTTTCCTTCTGTACTTAAGGAAAATGTTAACAGTGATTGTAAAACATTAAACATTAAGAGTAGCAGTTTGCCGTGATTTATTTTTCTGGGTATAGTCACATGGATTAAACTGCATTAAAGTATGTGGGAGGCTGCCTGCAGGAGAGTGAAAATAGAGTTGAATTGCATGTTACAATCAATAAACAAGATAATTGTGAAATTTAGTTTTCTTGACGGCATAATTTTAAGAATGCCATTTCTAAACAATAACTACAGTGGGACCTTGGGAAAACTTTGATTAAGTATTAGACAATTTTATACATTAGTAGGCAGGCCTACAATCCCATTTGGCATCTCTGAATTTCTTTTTGTTGATGAATCATGAAGAGAATGGCTGTAGTGTGGTTTAGAAACCTTTTAAACTTTAATATTTGCTTACAGTTGAGCACTCATGTAACAAACTTATTGGATACCTACTCTTACAAGAAACAATGTTAAGGAGCAATGAAAGACTTAAAGATGAATAAAACATGGTCTCCCTCAAGTTTTCCGTTTGGTAGGGGAGAAAAGCATATGCAAATAACAATTTAAAAAAAGACGGAATGTAATTGCTGTCTAAAAAAATGAATGCTATGAAAATAAGTAATATTTTAGAGTAAGATATTAGATAAACAGTTATGTATTTTCTACAGCACCTTTTAAGTGATTGAGGTAGGTTAAAGCAACTTTGTGTGAATGTTCAGAAATACCCGTTTTCCCTGGAAGAATTTCTACTAATGTACAAATGTTTTCTAATTGATCTAAGGTCAGTTTATTACAGTGCCTTTTTCATTGTGTTTTTTTGAGGGGGGAGTTATTTTGTTTTAGGAGGGGGGTGAGGCAGGAGACAGGATCTACCCCGATCTTTGTGTCGGGTTCCATGGACCCATTCTAATTTACATGTTTGTTGCATTTCAAAAAATCAAATAATAAGCTAGGGCCTGATTCCCAAATTCCACATAAATGTGTTGTTAATAGGCTTACTACTTTTGTTATATTATTTTACTTTATTAGTTCTCCATATTTTGGGAGACAGTGATACATATCCATACGTTACATATATACATACACATATGTATGTATGCAGTAAGTGCCTATTATTTTTCATGCTGTGTGTTAGTTAAATTTTAGTAGGATAGTCCATGACCCCGAGGATCTTATGGTCAATTATTAGAGGAATGAGAAAAATGCACGAATGACTATAATGGTGGGGATGCTAATAACACGAATGAGAATCTGAATTGTAGGAATATATAATAGGTTACTCTCCCTAGGTCATTCTAGACTGACTTAATAAAAGGATTTGTTGTGTGAAGTTTGGATTCAGTTAACCTGCTGAACTTGAGGACCTACAGGGCCACATGTGGCCTGGAGGCCTTAGGTTCCCCACCCCTAGTTTAGTGAAACCATCTCTACTTTAAGCCCTCTGAAGATAACAGTAGCAGACTTCAGCAGCAAATAAGGTGTACCTTCTGTTTAAGGATGCCCTAGAAAGATAAATTTTGTATGTGTATGTTTTCCTGGCCACTTTATAAACTGTTCACTTTGTAGAAACGATGCTATCATGCAAATTCCAAATAGTCTGTCGTCTCAGATATAATTCTGAGAAAGCGCCCACAAGCTTTACCAAACTGCCACAGGGATACATGACAGTGAAAACCCCGTCTTAGAGTTAATGACTTGCTTAGGGTCCTGACAAAAGGACTTGAACCCATGTCTTCCTTACCCTGAGACATGCTCTCTAGCTGTAAATTGACCTTTCCCAACACATTTTATCACTTGCTAACAAATGGGGGGGAGTCTGAATAATTCACAAACTGAAAATACATTCCTAAAAATTTAGTTGGTTATATTGTGGATTGATTGACCACTAATTGTATTCCCTCCTCTCTTATAAAAAGGAATCTTTCACAAAATGCTTAGCATAATGCCCAGCCCTTAGCTGTTATTCAATATCTACCTGTTTAGAACTTTCCCTATTCACTCGTTTCAGTTTTGAGTTTCTATGTGTATAGTATGGAGATTTCAGCAAAATTTAAACAATCAACTAAAAAGCTTCAATATAAGGAAATCATGCAGGTGACCTGAAAAACTTTTTGTTAATTCTGAGATTAAAGCAAAGTCAGAATTTTTTTGTTTTTATTTCTTTTGTTTTTCTTTTGTTTTGAGACACCTCCTGAATTGAATCTGGTGATTGTAAAAGCAGAACTTGGGATTCTGGAACACAGAGTTAGAAAAATACACAGTAAGAGAGTAGGTCTTGTTTGTTCTTTAGTTTTATATAATTGAAGGAAATTGCTAAATTTCAGTTAGAGGTGAGTGAAAATAAAAATTTTTTATTCCCCATCCAAATTCACAGACCTCCCTCAAATCTATCCACAGACCCTTTTTGTGGGGGTGGAGTGGAATGGATCTGAGGTTAAGAACCCCTAGGCGGATCTAAACATCTTATGGAAACTGTGAATTATCATAAGTTTTGGGTGACTGTTTTAAGGTTTTTGAATAAAGTATAATGTCCATAATCAAGAGTTAAGCTTCAGATGGTAGCTAGGTAGCATAATGGATTAAGTGCTAGGCTTGGAGTCAGGAAGACTTACCTTCATGAGTTCATATCTGGCCTCAGACACTAGCTGTATGATTTTAGGCAAGTCATTAACCCTGTTCGCCGCTGTTGCTCATTTTAAAATGAGCTGGAGAAGAAAATGGCATAACACTCCAGTATCTGTGCCAAGGAAACCCCAGAGGGGGTCATGATGAGTCAGACACAACTGAAAAAACGATTCAACAGAGTGCTTCAGGATCATTAATCTGGAAGCCAGGTGTGGAGTGAATTGAAAAGAAGAGAGATAATTCTAACAGTCTAGGAAAGAGGTTAATTAGGACCAGAATTGGGGTGGTAGCAATGAGGATAAAGAGTAATTGAAATTGTAAAGGCACTGGCCAGACAGCTAGGTGGTGAACTAGATAGTGGAACTCCTCCTGAGTTCAAATCTGGCCTTCATACATTTTACTTACTAGCTGTGTGAACCTAAGGAAGTCACTTAACCCTATTTGTCTCAGTTTCCTCATCTGTAAAATGAACTGGAGAAGGAAATGGCAAACCACTCCAGTATCTTTGCCAAGAAATGAGGATATAAAGAGCTGGACATGACCGAAACAACTGAAAAATAACAAAATCACCTGACTTAAGCACGTGATTGGAGTAAGAAACTGGAGAATGTTAGGGAAGCACTGAGAGAGGTTTAGAGCCAAACTGGAAGAGTAAGTGCTCTGTTAATAAAAATAGGGAATTTAGGAAGAGGAGGACCAGGGTTGGGAGCAAAATGAATTGATTTTTGAGAAATGTTAACTTAGGCAGTTTAGCATAGTGAATAGAGAAAGCTGTCCTCAGAAAAACCTTCGTTCACATTCTACCTCTGACTTAACCTGACCTTGGGCGAGTTACTTGACTTCCAATTGTCCAGATGACTTTCTAAGACTTAAGTTTTAGAACAATCACTGATCTGCATTGTTTATGATAGTTCTTTTCTAGGCTGTATCCCTACACCTATGAAATTATGAGTCTGAATGAAGAAAAAATAGGAAGTACAAGGAGAGAACCCTTGGATCACCAACATTTATGAGCTAGGAGTACCCCAAAAAAGCCAACAAAGAAGGAGGGAGAAGCTTCCATAGAGTTAAGAAGAGAATGAAGGAGAATGATAAATTGCAGAAGTCAAGGGAAGAGAGAATAACAAGAAGGAATACCTTATCAGT